ACACCTGTAGGAGGCAGGATAACTCAACAGTCTAAGAATTCCTGTGTCCCTTAATGGATGATACTGCTTATGTAGAGGCGACACTGGAAGTAGTTTAAAAATTGGCCTTGCTGTCTTGGTATTTACCTGTATTTGTAAGACTCCATTTAGGGTTATTGTGGCTGTGACCTCATTGGCTGTATAGCTAAGAACATGTTCCAGGGACCTAGAAAAAAAATGCAGTGCGTTACCACGCAGTAACTAAAAGTTACCTTTACCCTTCAAACCTATTAGCAGACATTCCAAGCAACATTATGGATCTGTTAAGCTAGCCATACACTAGAAGTTAAAAAAATAGTAATAATTGACTCCTTGTCAATTTATTTGTGTGTAGCTGGTGCATGGTTTTATTAGGAGTCCCTTGCACCGTGCAGCTGCTTGTTTCTTTTGCGAGACATTTTCTGTTTTATGGACCTTGCATTCTGAAATGTTAGGGATGCACCGACACTAGTATCAGTGTCGATACAGAGTTTTTGGGTGTGTACCGTACTCGCCCAAATGCTCCGATACCTTTCCGGATACTGGAATTTCCGGTCAGGGGGAGATTTTCTCTGACCGGCAGTGCCGCGAGGGAATATGGAGCCAGGATGCTGGCTCCATGCTGTTTGGCCGGCTTGATTCTGATTGGCCGGGATGCCGGCTTCCCAGCCAATCAGTGTCGAGCCAGGCAAACAAATCTGATATGTTGAGACGACCCCCACCCAGCAGGCAAATAATTCCCCTCACATAGATCCTTAGCAGCAGTCAATACTGCACCAGTCCTTCGGCCAGCTGGGCAGACACCGCTCTCCGGGATTTGCCCACGTCTCCTCTGTGCACAGTGTGCACGTGATCGGCCCTCAGCCTGCTACTGCGCATGCACAGGATTTCTGAATGAGAGCGCTGGACAGTCTGCGCATGCGCAGTAGCAGGCTGAGGGCCAATCACGTGGGCGCTGTACACACAGGAGACGTGGGCAGATCCGGGAGAGCTTGGGAGCAGTGTCTGCCCAGCCGGTCCGAGGGGCTGCTACGGTAATGACTCCTGCTAAGGATCTATGTGAGGAGAATGAGGTGCCTGCAGGGTGGGGGTCGTGTCGTCATATTGTCAGATCTGTTTGGCCGGCCTCGATGCCGATTGGCTGGGGAGCCGGCTTCCCGGCCACCCTGCATCGAGCCGGCCAAACAGAATGGAGTCGGTTTCCCGGCCAATCAAAAAGCCGGGCGTTGGGTAATGACACGCCGCCTGTGCAAATGAATTTAGCTGCAGTCATTATTTTAATTCTGGTCAACTTTGGTAAAGGATGTATTCTATTACAAAGGACTTACAGGTTGTCCTGACAAAAGGAGAGGATGCATAGCTGCATGCGCAGAGATCCTTCAACACCTTCATGTGTATTTTTCTGAAAATCTGTAGAACATAAAACAATAAATGATTACATTGGTTTTTTTTTTAAAAAAGGTAATCCTCCTTTATGTAAGAAAATGTTGAATCATAACTTGGTGATTGGCAGCAGAGGGTTCCTGATTCATGTTGACATTTCTCTCTTTCCCCTTTTAGTTGGATTATAGGCAACAGTAACAGATTTCCATTGATGTGGCAGTATGTGCACTTTCTGAAGTGGCTCAACCTCTGGACAAGTTGTAGGAATAATCTATTCTATCCCTAGCCACTAACAAGCCTCCTCAAAGAAATATGTTTGTTGCCGACAGCAACTTGAATCTTTCATTAGCCAAACTAAACATCAATAAGGATAGCTCTAATTCGTTGCCATGAGCAAAGATCATTTCCCCTTTAGTTAGCTCTGAGACATGAGTCTAAATGCTCCTAAATTTGAGGTGACCACTCTAATTTTAATGAATCCCTAGTTATAGCTATTCATACAGTATATTTATTGTATCAGTTAATCATTCTGTATATCTATTTAAAGGAAACCTATTGTGAGAGAAACATGAAGGCTGCTAATGCTGACCTATTCTAAAACTATTAGTTGCCTTGCCTAGTTGTCACACTGACCCTCTTACCTGGGACAAGTATATAGAGAAAGTCACTGAAGCCAGAGGGTCTGAAAGAGCACAAATCAGCTAACATTGTATCAGGAAGCCAGTAAGAAAACTTTCCTTACAACAGGTTTACGTAAAGCATTTTAAGCAGGATACGGTTGAGTTATGAAAGAAATTAAGCTTTTGCCTATGGCAACCAATTAGTGGAATTCCTCAAAGGAAAACCACATTCACTGTTATAATTTGATTTGAGAAAAATTTTGCATCCTGCTCCCTCCCCTTTTTTTTTTTTCTTCATAAATGCAATGGAAAACGATTAGAGCATTAACACTTAACAAAATCAAATGGATGTTCCAAAAATAATATATTTTTTTAAATTCAAGTGGTGTACGACCAGCTTAAGAATAACGTGTCATTTATATAGGAAAACACGGTTTACATTATACACGTGACCTTTTTCCTCATTTCTCTCATGTGACACTTTGCCTTTGTTTACTCATCTACTATGCTTCTTGCCAATAAATGTTTTGTGCCTATAGAAATGGGAGGTAAATTGCCCATGCGAGCACTAGCCAAGTTCCCTTTGCAACCTCTTACAAATGATGCTATGCTGAGCACTTGTATTTATTCCTATATAGTGGGAAGTAAGAAAATGGCACGGATGGATGCTACCAATGTAACTTATTTTAGGGTGACACCTGTCCAGTAAACATTTGTTCCTTGAGAGCAGTCTGCAGCCAGCTGTCTACCATCTATAACTAGCTTTAAAGGCAATACAATTAAATCACACCCTTTCTGGTTGACAGCTTAGGACTCAACATTTGTAACATACATGAAGGCCCTTCCTTTCAAAAAACATTTTTTAATCGCACATTATGGGACACAGGAGGTGTATTCAAGTACATTGGGTTATGCTGCTGCCTTCAGGGACTGGACACTGGCAAACAAAGCTGTAAGGACAGGAATTTCTCTCTGGGTCTAATCCTGTATTTTCTCCAGTCTGGTCTGGATCAATGTTTGGCCCTCCCACTTCCAGCATGCCTCTGTTTTTTTTGCTAGAGTTCTAGGAGAGCAGATGTCTTTTCTCTTTCGATAAAAAACAAACTACTTACTTTTTTCTACCTTTTTTATCACAATAATTTTAATTACCTGCAAGATTTTTCAGTTGCTACAAAACCACTGGGACTCGTTTTGCAGCTTCCAGATTGCCTTGGTGGTCGTACCCAGTCTCATTGCTAGCAAGATGCGGGGCCAGCCTATAAGCTGTCCTTCAGCACTGGATTCTGCATTAGGCACTCGCCTAGGTACCTATGGTGAAACATGTTGAGTCAGCTGCAGAATGCTTTACAGATTCAGGGACATTCTGCACCCGCTTGTGGAAGCCTGTCAATTCAGACCACCCTTGGAGAGTAACAGGGCTTACCCCTACCTTTGTAGAAGTCAGCACCCTTAACAGTGTGTTTCTCTTCTCCTTCAGCGGTTACGCAATGAGCTGCTACACAAAAATTGTGTTGCAGACATATTTCTTTGGAGTGCTTCGACAGACATTTAACTTTATCATGGGCACCTACTGAGGGCTACAAAACTTTTAAATATGTTGCTCACAGCTGTAGATTGTGACAAACACGTGCCCTTTCCTTTGGTCTAGCCAGTGCACCTTGGGTGTTCATCAAGGTGCTAGTCCATGTTTTCGCTGTGCTTCCCTCTCTGGGCATCACCATCATGCAAAATCTGGACAAAATTCTTCTGAGGAATAGTCCACTTGGGCTCTGTCAGCCCATGTCAAACAGACAGTGCAGAACTTACAGAGAACCATCTCATAGCTTGGAGTATCTGGACCTGATCATAGACATGACCCTGGTTTTCATCACCTTGACAGAATCCAGTCTCTCTGCTTCAACGTTCAAACTCTGCAGTCTGGGAGCCAACCAACCCTCTATTTCTTCACAAGGGTCTCGGGCCTAATGGTGTCCTCCTTTGAGGCAGCTCCATGTGCCCAAATTCACACCAGCCCGTTGCAACTCAACATTCTAGCAGTGTGGGACAAGAACATGCAGTCTCTGCATTGTCCCATATATATAACAGGACCAGGCTTGCCCTGGCATGGTGGAACACAAGTTCCACACTGGAATCCTAGGTACCCTCTTGTTACAGGACTTTGTAGTAGGAGGAAGCTCGGGAAGGTCCTTATCAATATTCGGGAACTTAAGGCAATTTAATTATCCCTTCATTGCTGGACCTCTCATCTGAGATGTCATCTGACCAGTTGGACTATGCCATGGCAGTTGCTTACATCAATGGTCAGAGAGGCACCAGAAGTCTCGCAGCTCCAAAAAAAATCTTCTGGTTTGGGCAGAACTTCAAGTTCCAGCCCTGATCACCATGCATAACCTAGTCATGGAAAACTGGTAGGTGGACTTCGTCAGTCATCAACATTAGGACTCTTCACCTAGAGGTGGTTTTTGTTTTTTTAAAGCCTTCTGCCAGAGGTGGGGGACACTGGATGTAGAACCTCCTAGCTTCCAGGTTCAACAACAAACTGAGCAGGTTTGTCTTTAGATCCAGGGACCCTCTAGCCTTCACAGTGGATGCTGTGGTGACTCCATGGGATCATTTGAAACTGATCTATGCTTTTTCTCCTCTGAAGCCCCTTCCTTCTCTACTCCGCAGGATCGAAACAGAGGGCATTCTGGTGATTCTCATCACACCGAACTGGATATTATCCTCTGCCCCTGGGGCTAATTCACCACCCTGCTTCTCAGTCACTGGCTTTAACTGCTTGGATGTTGAAGCCCAGGTCCTATGGGATGGGCCTATTTGATTCAGTCATCCCTATGCTCTTAAAAGCTAGGAAATAGATGGACTACCATCACACTAGGAAAGCGTATTTCTTTTGGTGCGAGTCAAGAAGACTCCATCCCAGGAATTTCTCTGTGGGGCTAATCCTGTATTTTCTCCAGTCTGGTCTGGATCAATGTTTGGCCTTCAGTACCATCAACTCTGGCCTTGGCTGTTCATTTTCAGTGATTGTTTTATTTGCACACAGTTGTGAAGGCCTTCATACAGTATGTCACTCACATTATTCCTCCTATATTTTCCCCAGTGACTCCCTGGGATCTCAGCCTATTTCTGCCAGCCTAAGTCTGCCCTTTTGAGCCTATTAGGGATATTTGTCTGTCTCTCCTTACTCAAAAAGATGTGCCATCACTCCTGCGAGGTGAGTTTGAGTTGGCGGCCTTAACCCATAAAGAACCCTTTCTTGTGCTAACAAGGACAAGGTTGTTTTGAGGCCCAAGGCCTCTTTTCTTTTTTTTTCCCAATGTGGTTTCTTCCATTCACCTTAACCAGCACATTGTTCTACCATCTCTCTGTCCTCCTCCTAAACATCCTAAGAAGATTTCCCTCCATTGTCTGAATGTGATATGCCCTATTCTATTTTATCTCTCAGATCCTCCTTTCCAGGTCCCCAGTAGGTCAGGTAGGGCTTCATGGGCTTTTCAGCATCATGCATCTGTTTCTTTTGTTTGCAAGGCTGCCACCTGGTCTTCTGCTTTTCATTTGTGAAGTTTTACCAAGTGGATATCCTGGTCTCAGCTGATGCCGGCTTCGGTCCTAGGTTGTAACTCACCCCTCAGTTGGACTGCTTTTGAATGTCCCACTGTACCTGAATTCTCATTCTGTTTCCCATAATGTATAATTTAGGAAATAGGATTTACTGACATACTGTAAAATCCTTTTCTTGGAGTATATTATGGGACACTGGTTCCTCCCCATTGTCTGTTTCTATGAGCCACCTCTACTATTTTTTGGTAACAAAACTGAGGCTTGATGGGAGTGGGTGTGGTTATACTGGGCTCTTCCTTTTACAGTTTTGCCAGTGTCCAATCTCCTGAAGGCAGCAGCATAACCCAGTGAACCTGGGCCCCATAATGTGCTCCAAGAAAAGGATTTTAAGGTATGTCAACAATGTTTGTAATTTTTTTACTCTCTGAATCTTGGCAATACATGTTAAATCAGATTTTACAATATACCTGAGCACACATATCATTCTTATTGTACATTCTCATTTAGACTTTCCAACAGTTATATAGAGTAGGAGACTGATTAGATACAAACTGAATGGGTTGTTAAGGCTGGCCCTTGCAATATCGCTGATAATTCTAAAACATATTTTAAAAATCAGATTGGTATGCGTATTGCTATCTAGACCTAGCAACAACCATAAAATGTGATGGTCTACTTAAGCAATCCATTCAGTGTATATCCAGGCAGATAACCCGTCACACTACGTAGCGGGTGATAAATTGTTTGTTTCTCCTAACTTTGTTTTAATAATAATAGTATTCCACTCAAATTTAAATAACATGTTTATAAGTAAATAAATGATACTCTGATTTTCTTATCGTGGCATTACCATATACTATTGTTCATAATGGCAGTATTGGGTCAACAAAGCCTAAACCTGACTCTTATTCCAAAAATAAAACTGTATTGTGTCCACTCTGTGGCTTACCAATGTGCAATCTGGCAAAGAAGGCATAGAGTCCGGTGTAAGGAGCAGTATATCGACCACTGGTTAGGTTCAGGCCAGCTCCTCTGTAGAACGATCCCTCCAGGTGGGACTACATACAAACATAAAATTACCATTGGAAAATATTAGTAGTGAAGCTTTCTAATGTAAAAAAATCTAAATGAAAAAAAATGCTACTAAAACTTTCCTGTGTGTGTGTGTACAATCATTACGGTGCTTAAAAATAGAGAGAGTGCATCTCCCCAAAGGGGACACAGACCACAAATAAACCTGACAAGGTGGCTAACCCTGCCCTTAGATAATGTGTAAGTGTAACACCACCATGTATTTATTACCTATTATTATTATTATTACCTATTATTATTATTATTATTATTACAATGTTGCAGACTGATCACTGGGTTAGAGGCAACTGAGGAAATGCTCCTTCCTGCCTGGCTTTACACTGGTTGCTCTTTGAAGTCCTTTTGACTCGAGTGAAATTCAGCCCCGTAAGCCCAAACGTTGATGTGTGTCTGCAAATCAGACCCTAAAATGTGACTGGAGGAAGGCAGAACCCAATAAATGTGTAGAGCAGCCTTTCTCAACCATGGTGCCTCGGCATCTTGGGGTGCCTTCACATTTTCACTCAAGGGGGCTCCTAATGTTAAGAGGGGGGTTCATGTATAGAGGGGCTTCTGATGTGAAGGGGAAAATTCCATGTCACTTTTTTAAATATATTTTTGCCTGGGGTCCCCCTTAAAATCCATAGCAGACCCTTGTCTGGAATAAGAGTTTGATATTGATTGTGGGGTAGGGACCACGTGTCGCTTTTACATTTCTTGTTTTATATTTTAGAGTGGTGTGCCTCGAGATTATGCATATGCAACTGAAAAATGGTTGAGAACTTGTTTGTCACCAGCACATCATAATGATGTGAAGAAAAGTATTAATTGACAGATAATGATGAGCCTGAGGAAGGGGACCATGCGTGGCCCAGAAACGTTGGTTTAATTTAATGAATGACAATATGCTTCAATAAATCACTTCATTACGGTCTGCTGGTGACATCACAAACAAGTTCTGCTCCAAGCGGCGCCATTCGCGGTCATTTTAAGCACCCATTTTAATTTTGGAAATCCAGTAAGGAGTGCAGCGGGATATCTATACATACATCTGAAAAATGGTTGAGAAACGCTGTTGTAAGGCTTATATAGGAATATCTGTGGTGTCATTGCTGAATGCTGACCTCTCTTCCTAAAACTCCAAAATGCCTGACTGCCGTGCTGCTTTAGATCCTTCAATACTTTGTCAAATGTTATAGGAGAAGTATTTGGATCAATTACTATTTTGTATAGTTTCCTTTTAAAAGACATTAAAGTGAAACACCAACCCACACTTGCAATTAAATATTAAATGAATATGAGTTAAAACCTCAGGCAAATTATTTTTAATTTGTATTTTTTTGTTTTCTGCCTGTTTGGGAGATTTCCCTGCACTTCCTTTTTTGGTAGCTAAACTGGAATTCAGGAGAAATCTATTAAACACCTATGTGTATTTTGGTTGATTGTATATATGTAAAACATTTTATACTTGTAAAATTCAGAGATATGCTTGTAAAGACTCACCATCTCATAGAGCTGGAGCTCCTTCAGCTTTCCAGGGTCCACATGAATGTCACTGCTGGTTTTGCATGTAAAGGCAATGTGCACCTTTGCCGGAGGTATAGCTGGGGCACGCTTGTAATTTGAGGTGTTCTCACCGTCTTTCCGTTTCAGCAGGGCATCTGTCATGAAACAGAATATTTGCAATCATTCAATATTCGTTAAGGAGCTTTCAGCAATTTATTTAACAGCATTGTTGAAGAGAAACATCTGAACTCTGTGTAGATAATGTCACCCTGTTACAGGTATCAAAAATTACCCACTGTCTATAATGAACTTATAGGGTTTGTTCACACTAGTAGCGTTGTGCTGCATTTGGCTGCCTTGCCCAAAGCAATCCCAATGCAGGGACAAGGCAAATAGCCTTATGTCCCATTTGTTTCAGTTCAAACCAATGTGCCGTGTTGGTTTTATGCAACAAAATATGGACATTACAATGCGCTGTAACATTGCATAGTAATAGATTGAAGTATTCAGAAAATGCACTGCAGTGAATGTAAAAGACGCATTGCAGAACAGCTCAGCTTAAAAATGCATTTGCTATGGTGTAACCAAATCTTTAAGAGTCAGTTAGTTTTTGTTTTTTTGCTATACCACCCACTTTTTTTATTTATTAGTCCTTTAAAATGGCTCAATCTCATATAAAAATACCATTCTAAAATAAAATCACCTGCAAAAGAAGACATTACTTAGCTCAACAGGAGGTGCGTCTGAATTTTTCTGCCCTCGAGCTACAGTATGTCCTCCACCAGAATCTTCAGCATCTGACACTTCCAGGTAAATCAGATGCCTATGACCCCCG